CAAAATATAAGGCCGTCGTGAATATCCTGTGGTATGTTACGGCAACGCGCCTGGTTTGCAGTTTGCAAACCAGTCTTTAAAATAAAGTTACCTGGCGTGGTTTTGAATTTGCAGAAAAGTTGCAAAGACAGTGCAGGGAGTTCCCACGTGGCCCACGCCCTGGTATCGGCATCTTACGCTTAGCGTTAGCGTGGTGCATTTGTCACAATTATGTATCGATACGTCATGATCAGCTCAAGTCCGTACTTCGTTTGGATTTCCTTATTATTTCCCATTTCCCAGAAAACGTCTCTTTTCTGCCCCAGGACCCCACATGGCATTAGTTGTCACGTCTCCTTAAGGCTTCTCTGGGCTGAGACTGTTTCTCTGACTTTCCTTGTCTTTTATGCCTGGACAGTCGTGCAGAGCACAGGGCAGGAGTCTTACAGAACACCCCCCATCTGGGTTTGTCTGGCGTTTTCTCCCAGTCAGACGAGGGTTGTGGTTTTGGGGTAAGAACACACAGAGGGACACATGCTGTCCACAGGGCTTACCGTTCTTGGTGTTGACCTTGATCTCTGGCTGAACCAAACCCAGTGGTTTTAAACTTTGAATTGTTCCCAACATTGAAAAATCCGGAGATTTTATAATAAAAGACCTCCCAGCTCCTCAGGATACTTGGGAGAGCTGATGCCATCAGGCCACTTCCCGTGCGGTGACAGAGCTGGGCTGGAAGAGGTGCCCCCGTCCGGTGAGCCAGGACCCCCATTGTCACCACCTGCCTGCCCTGGGGCCCACCTCCCTCTTGTGACCCCAGGATGGGCCACTAGAATGTGGCAAGCTCCCCCCACCCCCGCCACTGTGGCCTCGCACCCTCGTGGAGGAATGTCCTCGTGCACGTTCCCAAACACAGTCCCCCAGGAGGTGGCCGTGAGTCAGAAAAGCATGTTGGAATGTAGGGGAGTGAAGGTTACCTGGGAACATATTGTGGTTCGTCTGAAGGACACGGCTGGCCACTCCTGGCCATGTGGGGCTCAGAGCCACTGGCATCTGGGGCAGAAGGAGGGGTGGCCTTGGGCCTCCCACTCCGGAGTCACCATCGTTGGCCACTCCTGGGTCGTGGGCTTCTGGCCTCCAGCGCTGGGAGACAAGTCCCTGTGGTTTTAAGCCGCCTGGTCTGCGGTCACTTGTTACGGCCGCCCCGAGAAGTGTGTAGAGTCGGTGAGGACCAGATCCGGAAGTATGCAAGCTACAGAAAACAAGGACCGACCAGATCGCGTGTCTGGAACTTGTCGGGCGCAGAATGTCTCAAGATGTCGGGGGCGCTGCACTGGAGTTTTGGTTTCGTGGAGCCCCTGAGCTCCCCTGGCTCAGCCTCTGGTGGAGTCGAGTCCAGCATGAACACCCAGCAAGTCCTTTTATAGAGCGAGCAGTTTCCATATTTGCCACCGGCCAAAATCTGGGGACATTTTTCGCTGTCACGACTGGAGTGGTCCTGGCTTCGGGTGGGTGGATCCAGGGGTCCTGCTCAGCCCCCAGAGTGTTCAGGACACCCCCTCCCCCAGAGCATGACCCGCCCCCAGTGCTGGGGGCAGAAAACATGGAGCGAGGTGACCTTCAGATTCCAGAACATTCTGTGGGTCCCAGCACCGGGGCCCACAGCTGTGCCGAGGCAGCTGGAGCCCCCGGAAGATGAGCTGGGCTCGTCCTCACTCAGCACGTTTTACCCTCTCGAGGCTGCAGGGCTGACCCACGGAGTCAGGCAAACACCACAGCTCGGAGCAGAAGCCTCCGCTCCATCCCACGCGAGAGCAGGGTCGAGGTGACAGCACAACCCACACACCGGGGCCTCCAAGGCACACGGGCTGGCGTGCTGCCAGCTGCCACTCACCCGACAGTCCCCGCACACCCACAATGACACGCGCTCCCTGGAAGGCGGATGGGGAGGGGCAGATACCCTCCTGGCGCAGGAGGAGAACACAGGGCGGGCCGCCTTGGCCAGAACCAGGCAGAACCAGGCCAGACGTGCTTCCCCTCCGGGGAGGCTGCCTGTGTTGTCTGTATCTCTTCAACAGCACATTCCCTGGGCCCTTAGACTGCGGGGCCTTGGAGTGGTGGTGGAGGGTCTCCCTGTGAGGCGTCAACAGACTTTCTGTAAAGGACCAAAGGGTGAGTGTTTTCAGCTTTACAGGCCAGAGGCTGCAGTTGCCGGGTTCTGCCTTTGGAGGTGCAGCTGTGCCTTGGATGGTGTATACGTGAAGGGGCATGGCCGTGTTTGAATCAAACTTTGTTTACAAAGCAAGTGGTGGGCCAGATTTGGTCTCGGGTCTCTGATAGGTCAGCGCTGCCTCCTTCCCAGGTCAGAGGCCTCTCCTTGTTAGAAGTGGTTTTCGACACGCATGACTGTCCCCTTCTTCTCTAGCTTGGTGACCTCAGGCTGGTTTCATCTCCTCTCTGAGCCTCCGTTTCCCCATCTGTAGAGCAAGGATAGTTATTCTTAGGGGTTGTAACTAGATTGTTAGGTGTCGTAGGACAGTAGTTCTCATCTGGGGTGATTTTGCCCCACGGGGGGCCCTGGTCATGTGGTTGTCGTGACTGGGGATGCTCCTGGCATGGAGGGGGTGGGGCCAGGGATGCTTCTCAGCGCCCCCCCCCCCCCCCCCCCCAGTGCCTGGGACGCCTCCAGAGAATGAAGTGGTTCTGAATGTGTGTGGGGCTGGAGGGGAGAGACCCCGGTGTAGATGGAAGTATCTAATAGGGTCACGTGCAAAGAGCAGGATGCCATATTAGTTGTTGTCTGTCTTTCTTTGGCCCACAGCTTCCCTCTTATTTTCCAGAACTCTCCGTCCATAAAACCTTTGCCCTCCTCCAGGCCCGTGCACCGGCTGCAGACTCGGCAGGCCTTGCTTGAGTGCCCCTGGACGCCGCGGCCCCCTGAGTGAATGCGCCCTGTCGCCCGGGTCTGCCGGAGATGTCTCAGAGCCTTGCTCCAGCAGGACCCGGGGCCCCGCTCAGCCACCTTCTCCCCTCCTCCCCCCTTCCTGTCAGAAGAGCAAACTTCCCTTGTCGATTAGCATATCCTGTTTTTAGCGTCTTTCTCTTCTAGGTTTTATATAATCGTGTCATTATTAGACGCTGTCACAGGGACTCAGTGCTCCCCCAGTCACACTTTGAAGCATTCCCTAGCATCAACGGCTAATTGCCTGTCGTCACTCTTCTCTTCTCTTGTTCAGTAAACTTTCACTTTAGAATAGTTTCAGATCCTCAGAGGAAGTGGGAAGGCAGTACAGAGTTCCCACGCAGCCCGCAGCCGGGGCCCCTTTGGCCAACACCTTCCATCAGCGCAGTGCACCTGTCACAGTCAATAGGCCAATATTCCTATGTCATTATTAACTGCGCTCCATACTTTGGACTTCTCTGCTTTCCCCCTAATTATCTTTTTCTGCCCCAGAACTTCATCCAGGAACCCCACATGACACAACCCCACTGGGCTGTGGCGGCTTCTCAGACTTTCCGTGTGCAGAAACCCTGTCCCACTGGGGCGGTGGCGGGGGGAGGGGGGCGGCGGTCATCAAGGGCATTACCGGTGGCGATTTCATTCACCAGACCTAGACGTTTAGGGCGCCCTTTGCAGCCAAGGTTTGCTAGCCCACTGATGAAGACGAGGTATTTACTAGAAAGTCGGGTGATGGGTTTTTTTCAAGGTGACCTTCCTGGCAGCAGCGGAAGGGGGCCCCTCTGTGGTTGTGGGTGTTTTGTGTGGCCGGATGGTTGGAGGTAATTTTGCTGGGTGACAGTCAGGGGCAGGGTGGAGCTTTTCCATGTGACCCAGGGTCTAGCTTCAGGATGAGATGGCCATGGTCTCTCTGTGGTGGCGCCTGGATATGAGAATTTGTGGCTAAAATAGTGCCATGTTAAAAAAAAGACAAACCCTGTTTTTAATGTTTATTTATTTTTGAGAGAGAGAGAGAGAG